ACATGTTACTTTTCTCGACATTGAACTCTCTATTTCTGATAATCGCCTCTCGACCAGTGTGTTCTACAAATCTATAGCTACCGATGCACATACGTTCCTGAATTATAAATCCTCTCATCCACCATCGTGTAAGGATGCTATTCCTTACTCTCAGCTCCTTCGTCTTAAACGCATATGTACTGATCATGATGATTTTCAACGACGAGCTACAGAAATGATCTCATTTTTCAAGGATAGAGGATATCCTACTCACATAACTGATAATTCTTTAAAACATATTGCGCACATGACTCAAGATGAAGCTCTACAACCCCGTACGCATGTTGACGCTGATCGAATACCCATCATCCTGACTTACCATCCTACGACTACCAAAATCTTCACCATTTTAAAGAATAATTTCGATATACTTTTATCAGATGAAACCACAAGTGCGATCTTCCAATCTCCTCCACTTCGTTCATATAGAAAAGATAGGAGTTTGAGAAATAGTCTCGTCAGCTCATCCCTCAGGTCTACTGATGATTGTTCAGGATCGACTGTTTCATGCCATAGGCCTCGTTGTAATACTTGCGCGCACATCTACTCCACCAATATTCTTAAAGGACCATCCGGCACTCATGCTATCAAGGACACTTTCTCATGCACTTCCATCAATCTCATATACGCTATTATCTGTATTAAATGTAATCTTGTATACATCGGCGAAACCAAAAGGAGAATGGCAGATCGTTTTACTGAACATCTTAGATCCATCCGTCTCCGGCAAGCTGGTTTACCCATTGCATCGCATTTTAGTCATAACCACAGTAAAGAAGATATCAAGATCACTGGTGTTTCTCTTTGTCAAGGATCCGACACTATTAGAAAAAACTTGGAGCAAAAATTGATTTTTAAATTAGGCACTATTGCTCCCTCCGGTCTTAATGTATCTTTTAATGCTTTTAAGATTTAATTTCTATCTAGTTTGGATTTGGATTTTGGACCATGTGTTTGATTATTGTTGCTTTTATTGATCAGCTCTTTTTTTATATACTGTTCATATATATATATATTTTTTTCGTTTTCATTTTTATATTCATATAGGCCTACATATTATTTCTTCTTATATATAGTTTATATATATGTATGGCCGAAAACGTTTGTGAATTTTCTGTATTAAATTTGGCAAATATATACCTTGTTCCTGAGTTTTATTTGATAGATATCTACACTTTGCCAAGCAGCTACTCCTGATT